ACCAGCAACTCCACTTGAATTTGTAGAGGTCTTCAACCAGTACTTTTTGAATTTTCTTGGATAATTTATTGACACTAACATTACATTATAAAAGTTGGAAACAAAATGCAACATTTCATCGGAGATACATTCCATTAATGTATTATCTCTTGAATGCGGATGACGTAGATAGGGAAATTGTTGAAAGGTCTCGGAATATATGAAATGCCAGCAGATGAGGTACAAGAAACTCCACAGGAAGAAGTTCAGATACAACCAGATGGAAGAAATAGTTCAGCAACAACAGCTAGAAGAGCCTGAAGGAACGAACAAGTCACTCCTTTGGAAACTAAACTTCACAGAACTAGATGAAGATTTGGAACAGCCGAAAAATCTTGACCCTCAACAAGAGTATGCGGAGAATATGGAATATTTCCAAGAGTCTAAAAAAAATTCGGCTGACATAGTAGAAGAATATCGAAAAATGTTTGCCGACATAAAAGACTCCAACACCAGATGAAAAATATTCAGCATAGAATGGAAGTACTGAAAGAAAATGTACACAAATAAAACAACCCTTTTTACTTACGAGCATTTAACGTTCAATCTTCGGATGAACTCGGTGAAAATAAAAGGTTAAATTTCAAGAAAACATATAGAAATGAAACATTGTTTAAAGTTCATTCAGAACCTAACCAAGATGGAAACAAACCTACTTTTGTTTCTGCAGACGATGGAACTACAATGAGATGGGTCATAAGCTAATCCAGATAGGTGGTTCATAAACTTACAACCACAATTCCAAGAAGTTGTAGACGCAATGGAAGTCAATGGTGAACGAGATATAGCTGGTATTTTAAGCGCGGCTTTAATGCCATTGAAAGATATGAAAGATGCAGATATTTTGGACCAGTATGAAATGAACATGGCTGATGGAAATATAACACCTGACGTTCTAGAACATTTATCTCAAAGAACTACACAGAACCATAGAGATGGTATATTTGGTGAAGAGTTTAGAAAGAAAGTTAGGGAGGGAGAAGGAAGAGAACCTATTGTACATGACCTTGCAAACGAAAGTTTACAAAATGTCATAAAAACTTACTTTGCAGGCGATGAATCGAGAAGGGATGAATATTTAAGAAAACTCAAATGGACAGTAACCAATGAAATGTTAGTATTGAAAAACATGTTCTTGACAAAATAAAACCAACTACAGAAATAAACGACGCAAGACTGAAAGATTGGGTAAAAGCTTTCCCATTCACAAAAGATATTATTGGTAACATGGAAAGAAAACCAGAATGGCTACAAAACATATATTTGGAAACGAGCAATATTCCATATGGACAGGCACTGTTTGAAGAGCTTGAACCAGAAACTCAGGAAAGAGTCATGCAAACAATACGCGAAGACTCAAATACAGACTATGACAAACTCTTTCTAGGATATAGGTTACCTGAGATGGGCGACCAGAGCCAAAGGCAAAAAGGACATGGGAAATTTGCAACATACTAGATGAACATAATGCAAAGATGCAACAACTTCAAGCAGAGGCAATGAAGGAAAAAGAGAGATTAAAAACTCAGTCAGGAAGAAAGTAAAGCTTGGTCCACGTGGTTTATATATGAATATAAATCCAACTATTCTATATTTTTACTCATATGAAATGTACGCCGCTCAGAATATAACGCCAACAGTTTTGGATGCTATGAATGGAAATGTTTCCGAATGGTATAACGAATGCGACAATGCCATTAGAAGGTCAGAAATAGTTCCTGGAACTTACGAATATACAACTGCTGTTTCTTATGGAAACGTAGGTGAGTTTGGAGAAGGTTCTTCAACAACAGTAGATATTGCTTGCGACAGGTTTCATATTATTTCTATTGACAACTCATTCTTATACGTGGAACAAGACATTGAAATAAAACCTTCTGCCAAGTTGTCTGACAAGAAAGGTTGCAATGGAATTTTCTATGTCGGATACCAATATGCTCCAGAAGTTTTCATGGGATATAAGATATATTCTAACTCTGACTTAGTTCAAACAGTAACATGGGCAAACTATGAATGGTTCGCTTTGAGAAACTCAGTACAACCACAAGCTAGAGAACAAACAGACCAATATGCAACTATTGAGAAAATAAGAAGACTTGACCCTAACGTTCCAGGAGTTTATGTTAACCTTTCTGGACAAACTGCAGCAGCAGTAACCAAAGTAAAACTGAAACTTAGAGTTCCTTTGTCATCTTTCCTCATCTTCAGGTTTTTAAGATACTTGCCAAACTGGGCAGGAAAAAATTTCTATCGAACTTACTCCAAGCAAAAATAACTTAGTCATTGCACCAACGCAAGACCCATTCACTCTTACAGACGTAAAGGGAGCAAATCAAACGTCATTCGCCGAATTTTGCAAAGACAAAGTTGACTTAGACTTTTGGAAACCTCAACACTGAAGTAAACTATTATTTCAATGCTGCTGGAACTGCTTGGGACCCAGTTAAGTTCACATGCGAAAAATTTGAATGCAAGAGAATAGAAAGCAGACTTGCAGTCTATATGTTGGACCCAGATATTTCAAATGCTTTAGCTGCCAAATATATTGCAGTTCCACTTATGTTCCCTATACACCAAATATCTGTCAAAGACTTTGCAGGTGAAGTTGGAAACCAAAGTGCTGACCGCAGGTGCAAGAACAGATATTGCTTTAACAACTGCAATGAAACATGCAGATACTATGTTTGTACTGTTCAGACGAACTATAAATGACTATTCTTGCTTCTACAACCCTGGTATTAAATACCATATAAACATAGATGGCAATACTATCCAAGAGAAGAATATTCTACAGTTGAGGATATGAGGTCATACAACTTGACATTAGATGCTATGAACTTTAACAACAACTTCACAACAACCATTAACCCTGAAATGCAAAGTTCTATTATGCCATATGTGAAAGTATGGACTCATACAGGAGGTCAAAAAACTCAATATACAAATGGAGACCGTTCAAACTTTTGGCTTGGCATTCCATTTGCTGACTCAGAAGACTTTATGGGTGGTATTTCAACTGTTGGTACAGTTCAAATACAATATACTGGTGACAGAGACGGTCCAGATGAATTGAAAGCAAAGAAGTTTACAAAACCAATAGCACTTTTCACGGAAGATGCTCTTTTGAAGATTCGTTCGATGAAACCTGCTGGGGCTCCTCAGATTGGTATAACGACAGCTTCCATCGAGCAGATTTTGGCAGCAGGTCAGTAAGTTGTTCTTGAACTGACTTCTCTCCGTCAAATATTGACAGTACGCCAGTTTTGACATAAAATTGTATTATAAACTTACCTTTAGAAATATCTGTAAGTTTTGTTGTTATATTTTTGTCTGCTTCAAGAACTTTCACCATTTCAGTTATACCAACTTTCTTTGCTTTATGAAAATATTTTGGTTCAGCAAAGACTGCTATTCTATAACATTTTCCATTGTTTGTATAAAGAACTATTCTATCAATGAACTTGTATTGTTTGTGTGTGTAAACTTTGTTTTGCTTCAATTCGAAGAGATACTCAATACGTCCATCTTTTTATTCTAAGTAAAATGTCATTTCCGAAAAATAGAAGCGTAAGTGTTTCAAAAGGTTTAATGGCGATGGCAGATGTGAAGTTAAATTCACCAACTCAAACAAACAGTCAAAGTGTTGTTGTCAATGTCAAAGAAAGAGATGTTGAAGTGGGGAAACCATACGAAGACGAAGATGGTATAGCAATTGTTCCTGTAAAAGAACAACCAACATATCCTGAAGTTAGCAGAGACTTAAGTTCTGTTGCAGATATTCGAAACGACTACCAACTGAAAGACAAACTTCAAACTCAGGAGAAGATTTGTCAAGCTTTAAGTATAATGTTAAACTTGGTCGAACACAACCCTGTAAAAGTGAACTCATATGTCATTGCACCTCATGAAGTTTTGAAAGAACTATTGAAACTTTTGACAGAGGCAGACGATATAAACATCAAAGAAATAGAACCCGACATTAGTTGCTGTGGTGTTTCATATAATGTCATTGACAAGATATACGTTATGAAAGGAGGTGAAACGTTGAACTTAAAATATAGTTTCCCAGACGTCATAAAAATATTTGACGACCACAACATTTCATTAAAATTTAGTTGCTAAGTAAATGGCAGAAGACATAGTGGTTTATACTATTACGACTAAAAACCCTGAGTCATATAATTCTATAACAACAAACTTACAAAGTCCTCAAGGACGATATTGTAAACTGACCTTAAACACGATGACGACTAAAGCCTGTTTTGCTCTTTTGACACCAGAAGACTTTGTTGTTGTGAATGGTAAAAAATACTTCTTTGAAGATACTTACTCAGATATACACCAACAGGTTTTGTTGACTTATTTAATACTTTAAGGACGGATGTAACATGTGCTGCAACTAGAGCAGGTTTCATTATGTTTGGATGTCCGACTGAGTTTAGTATAAACGATATGAGCTATAATACAAAACTTATATCTGGTTTTTACTACCAACAGTTTCCTATAACAGGAAAAGGTGTCATACAAGGTTTGTCTGTTCCATTGACTTTAAGTACACCTATTTTATATATTGTTTCAAACTTAGGTTCAAAGTGCTATTCGAATGTCGACAGAAACTACTATGACCAAAAGATACTCATGCGTATAAACAACACTTTCTCTGCTGGTTTGCCTATTGTTCATTCGAATGCAGAGTTTTCAGCTTTAGTAAACTCAAACACTTTAGCAAACATAAACTTAACCTTAGTTGACGCAAACTTTGTTCCTGTAAAACTTTTATGTCCTATGTATTTGTCAATGACGGCAGAAAGTTTCGAATTGGAAGATGCAACTGGTGAAAGTATTGTACTACAAGAACAACTTCAACAACAAATAGCTCAAGAACAACAAATGCAACAAATGGAACAAATGCAACAACAAAGTCAAGAATAAAAAAAATATTTTTTTTTATTTTTATAAAAATGTACAGAATAGATGTTTCAGATTTTTATGACTTCCAAGCATTCAGAAATATGTGTCCATTTCGAGACTATAACAAAGCAGTCGAGAATTTGAAACGTTTAGTCATTTATGTTGACTCTGCCCCAGAATGTTATGTCATGAAAGAATGGGATGTTGTCTTTAACAAACCAAGAGCAACAATAGTTTCAGAACAAGAATGTAGACAGAAACTTAAGAAAATAAAAGTTGTACAAGTTGGAATGAAGATGTTAGATGCTTGGGATATCTTATTGTCAAAGTTAGAAGATTTTTCAGTTCGAGGTATAAAGTTCTATACACCTTCTCCAAACTTCTATTCTATCTTCACTGGATATAAATACGAACAAGTAGAATGGAAAGAAAATGTTATAGAAGCTTGGTTAGACCATGTCAAAGAAATTATATGCAATGGAAACGAAAGAGTCTATGAGTATATCTTATGTTGGTTTGCAAACATCTTACAACATCCAAGTGCTAAAAATGAAACTGCTCTCATTATAATTGGAAAACAAGGAACAGGTAAGAACACTTTCTTTACAGATATCTTATGCAAACTGTTAGAGGGCTATTCGAACCCTAATATGACAAACTTAGAAAACATCTGCGGTAAATTTAACTCTTCAATAGAGAATATGAAACTTATAGTATGTAACGAACTTCAAAGTATAGATACAACAAAGGTTTTAAACTCAGATGCTTTGAAGAGTCTTATAACAGACAAAGTTGGAGTTGTTGAAAGAAAATATAAAGACCAAAGAGTTTGTGAAAATGTTGCAAATTTCATCATGGTTTCAAACAACGCCGTTCCGATGAAGTTAGAAAGTTCTGACAGAAGATATGTAGTTGTCAGAACGTCAGAAGCTCATATGCAAGATACAGAATATTTTGACGACTTAGCAGAAACTTTGACACCTAACTTTTACAACCACTTGTTCTCATATTTCATGACATTAGATATTTCAAAGTTCAATCCAAGACAAATTCCACATACCGAAGAGAGACAAACATTGTTAGAAGCAAACAAGAGTGTTTATGAACTGTTCATAGATGAAACTGACTTTGAGTGTTTAGATGAAAGGTCATTGTACGATTCATATAAACAATATTGTCAAGAGTATGGTTATATGGCAGCTTCTAAACGTACATTCTTGGCAAATGTCAAAAATCTTTTAGATGTTCAGAACGGCGTATATACAAAGAAAAATTTTTCTGAGTAAATTTTAAAAAAAAAATATTTTTTTATCCGATAGAAAAGATGATGAAATTCATCTCAGTCAACAAGTACATGTCAGGACTTAAAGAAGAACTAGACCCATTCATATATTTGAATGTTTACTTCTACCATTTTGAAAAGTCTTCATTCAGCAAAGTTTGGAACATCGAACCAGTTAAGTTTGCTATTGTGACTAAAAATGGTGCGAAATTTGAAGACTTAGACATAGAAGGTTTGTTAGCAGTCAAAGAAAATTTTGACAGAAGGTTTTCAAACCTTAAAGAAGGCAAAGCATACAAACTTGTTATACCTTATGAACCAAAGAAAGCAGACGACTATGAATATTATGAGTCTAAGATAGTTGAAGTTCAAGGTAAATTGGGTAAAAAGATTTTAGAGTCTAAGCCAGTGTTTGCTCCTAAAGAGGAAGAGAACATTGACATTGACCCAGAAATGTTCTAAAAATAAAATTTTATTTTTACATGTCAAATTTCTTTTTCTCTGGCTCTGGCTCTGGCTCTTTCTTCTCTTCTTCTACTTTCTTTTCTTTCTTCTCTCTCTTCTTCTTCTTCTCTGGTGGAGTTATGTCAAACTTCTCAGAACCATATTTTTGTAAAAGTTCTTTGTCCTTTAATAGCTCTTCTATTCTGTTTCCTATTTCATCTTCAAGAACAGCGCATGTGTCTTCTTTGCATTCTAAGAACTTTTGTTGGACTTCATCTTTCCAATCGGCGTCATCTCTGTCAACAAGTCTGTCATTGACAAACTTAAAGACTTCTCTGCCTAATGTTTTATGGTTCTTGTCATATTCCCAGAAACAGAACTTTAGAACAAATTCACCTTTCTTGTTTACACTATGTAAGATTTTTATGGTCGACAGAAGTTTTAGAGTCAAAAAGCTTGTCTCGAATATAGATAGCGAAATCGCTAGACATTTTCAAAAAGATAAAAATTTTAATTTTTCTAAAAATATGTTAGAAAAAAAGTTTGCTGACATTGACAAGAAATTTGAGAATTGTTTTAAACAAGAACAAGAGGAAGTTGGAAAATGCTCAGATAAAACCCATACATGACAAGTTCTTATTTGCTCAGAATGGTATAACAGGTCTAATCGCACCGCCTGGGTCGGGTAAGACTTTCACTTTCTTAAAATGGCTGCACAACAACAAGAACTAGATGAGAAGAACCCATTCTATGAGTTAGTAGTCATTTGTAGTACTTCTGGTCAATTTGACCAAACCGTCAATTCGTTCAAAGATATTATAAAAAAGTCTAAGTTAGTATGTATAAAAGACTCTGAGTTGTTAGATTGGATAAAGAAGTACCAAAGAAGAGTTTTGAAGTACAATGCTATAAATGAGTATATAAACTCGAAGTTTAAAGACCCAAATGAGGAAATGCAGAGAATATTAGAGAAGAAACACTTCAGAAACAAACAGAAAGAGATAGAATACATTTCGAAGAAATTGCAATCTTACGATTGGAAGACTTACCCTCACAGATGTCTTCTTATCTTAGATGATTTCGCCTCTCATCCTTTGTTAAAGAACAGAGAACAAGATATGTGTCGAATTCTTAAGAAGCTCAGACACTTTAACATCTCAGTTGTCATTTGTGTACAGACAGCAAAGAGTTTAAGTAAGGATGTTAAAAGAATACTTACTGATATCATACTTTTCCCTGGATTGTCCGAAGACGATTTCATGGAACTTATGAAAGAGTCCATGGCAGGTAAGTTTGACAGACATGAACTATGGGAGAAGTACAAAGTCATACAAGACCCTCATACTTCTTTCAGAATTCACATCTACGCGAACAAAGTTCAAATTGTAAAAAGTCAAGCTTGAAAAATAAAGAGTTTAGTCTTAGTAAGTCTGCTGTGGTGCTGGGGCTGTCGGTTCTTCTGGCTTTGGAATGGACTCGGTTGGTGGTACGTCGGACATTCGTTTGTGTCCTGTCGGAAGGAAGAACTTTTCCTGTCGGAAGGAAAAACTTTTTCTGTTGGAAGGAAAAACTTTTCCTGAAGTTCGACCAAAAAGTTCTCAATTTTCGAAAATTTGAATGGTTTACGGACGACGACAACAGAAAAAATTTTTCCTGTTGGAAGGAAGGACTCTTCCTGTTGGAAGGAAGGACTCGGAATGCCAGAAGGAAGGACTCGGAATGCCAGAAGGAAGGACTCGGAATGCCAGATGGAAGGACTCGGAATGCCAGAAGGATTTGACAATTTACCTTATAGAGCTACCTGAGCCATCTGAAGTCAAGCTTGAAAAATAAATGGTTCATTTACTCTGCTTGTTTGAAGTTGTCAAATACTCTGTTATCTTTTCTTTCAGTAGCGGCAAATCTTCTTTGAATGTAAGTATTGTACAACCTTTCATATCATAGTGTGTTTGAGGTAACGTATCTTGAACTATTTGTTTCACATCTTCATTCGGGGTCATTGAAATCGGTAAGTTTTCGCGATAGAACCAATTTCTGTCAGATTTGTAAATCTTAGCAAGGTCGTAAAAGCTTTTGTTGTTTCTTCTGACTAAATGCAACATAACCATATCTCTGTCTTCTTCATTTTCCATCTCTTCAGTATAAATCATATACTTATAGTTCTTTTCCTTTCCTTTTGGTACCGAACGTGGTATTCTTTTCTGTATGGTTTTGTCTTTTGCTTCAATGACTTCATCTTTTGCTTGAAGTTTCTTTTCCATCTCTTCACGTTCTTGTCTATGAATTTCGTCAAGAAGTTTACAAACATACCATGAATAACGAGGCGAAGCCCACATTGCAACAGCATTTACAAGAAGTCTATGTACATAATATCCTCTCAAACCATTTGGCAATTTTTCACGATTTTCATGAGTTTTAGGCGACTGGGTTTTCTTACCTACTCGCTGTTCTTCACTGTTTTCAGAAAAAAGTATGTCTCGCTGTGCTTCGCTCAAAAGTTCTTGTGTGCTTTGGTTCCTAAACCAGTCTTTAGGAAGCTTAGTATCTGGAGCAAAACATGCTGTCAAAATACTTTGCATTTGGTACATGTCATCTTTGACCGAACGAATGAGACGGAGTTGTTTGTTAAACTGAACCCACTCGTATTCTTCATTTATAGCTTCATGAACGATAGCAGTTGTTGTGTTCTCTGTTGTTGACATTACTGTTTCTTATATACAGGATAAAAAAATAAATAAAAATAAAACTAACTTTATTTTTTCTATCTTAAGGAAATTTCATGAAATTTGGTCATTTTTCAGCAAAAATATATTTTAGGGTAGAAGGGTATATCTACCCCGTTTTCTACCCTCATTTCTACCCCATATGTCCTTACTGAAAAAGTATGTGTTCCATATGTCATTTTACTCAGAATTTTACTCAGAATTCAATAAAAATATATTTTAGGGTAGAAGGGTATATCTACCCCGTTTTCTACCCTCTTTTCTACCCCAGTTATTTTATAAGCGTTTTACATGGTAAACATTGTGAATTCGTGAAATTCTAAACAGTTTTGTAGCTTCTATTTCTTCACGAAGGATATCGAATGTTTTCACAATGCCGAAAGTTTCTTTATATTTCTTCTTGACGTCAGATAGAAGGAAATCGTCAGCAGTTGGATAGTTTTTGTTCAGAAATTCTAACATGTCCATTTTATCTTCTGCTGGTTTCTCTACTTCTTTCTTTAAGTCAGCATAGTCGTTTCGCATACGTTCTATCTCTTTGACGGAGTAGTTATATTTCCTCATTGCTGCTTTACATTTAGAACATTGTGGGTTCATTTTTGCGTTATATTCTGAAACCTTACCTGCTAGTATGACTAAGGCGTCAATTGCTCTCTTTAACTCAAAAGTTGCGGGTTTTATCTGTTCATTCCATATCTTACCTCTTCTATCTTTATCTCTTATTTCCCAAACACATTTTGCAACTAACGAAACAAAGTTGTCGTAGGTCTTAAACTCCCCAGATTTATATATGTCAGAGATGTTCTTATATACCATATCGCAATCTTTGTCCATGACTTTGTGGTTGCAATGAAATCCAAGAAACTCATAGTTAACCTTTCGTATGAACTTCTTTATTTCTACTGAGTCAGTTGCTTTGACTTCTATTTCATCGAATTCTGGAATAGTGAGTTTTTGTTGTTGGATTTCAGGCAATTTGGGTAAATGGTCAATAATATCCTGCATTTCATAAAGATACTGTTCATTTGTTTCATCTTTCGCACTA